AACAACTATAAGAAATTCGAGGCCGGGCGCGGTGGCTCAAGCCTGTAATCCCAGCACTTTGGGAGGCCGAGGCGGGTGGATCACGAGGTCAAGAGATCGAGACCATCCTGGTCAACATAGTGAAACCCCGTCTCTACTAAAAAAATACAAAAAATTAGCTGGGCATGGTGGCACGTGCCTGTAATCCCAGCTACTCAGGAGGCTGAGGCAGGAGAATTGCCTGAACCCAGGGGGCGGAGGTTGCGGTGAGCCGAGATCGCGCCATTGCACTCCAGCCTGGGTAACAGGAGCGAAACTCCGTCTCAAAAAAAAAAAAAAAGAAATTCGAAGTAGGAAAGCACTTGCCCCAGCTAGTTTCCTAACAGCCACAAAATAACATACCAGTTCTGTTGGTAATTCTAAAAAAAATTAAAAATAAAACAATCTTACTTCTAATCATGCTTTAAATCTACTTTAGAATGAAATAGGAAATACATACTTTAAATCAATTCTTTTCTTAGCCAGGTACAGTGGCTCATGCCTATAATCCCAACACTTTTGGAAGCCAAGGCAGGAGGATTACTTAAGCCCAGTAGTTCGAGACCAGCCTGGGCAACATGGTGAGATCCTGCCGCTACAAAAAATAAAAAACAGCCGGGCGCGGTGGCTCAAGCTTGTAATCCCAGCACTTTGGGAGGCCGAGGCAGGTGGATCACGAGGTCGAGAGATCGAGACCATCCTGGTCAACATGGTGAAACCACGTCTCTACTAAAAATACAAAAAATTAGCTGGGCATGGTGGTGCGTGCCTGTAATCCCAGCTACTCAGGAGGCTGAGGCAGGAGAATTGCCTGAACCCAGGAGGCGGAGGTTGTGGTGAGCCGAGATCGCGCCATTGCACTCCAGCCTGGGTAACAAGAGCGAAACTCCGTCTCAAATAATAATAATAATAATAATAATAATAATAATAATAAACAATTAGCTGGGTGTGGTGGCATGCTCCTGTAGTCCCAACTACTCAGAAGGCTGAGTCAGGAGGCTCACTTGAGCCCAGGAGTTCAAGGTTACGGTAAGCTACGATCATGCTACTGTACCCAGCCTGGGTAACACAGCAAAACACTGTCTCTTAAAAAGCAAAACAAAACAGAAACGATAGTATAAATACAGAAATAACAATGTATCTATGTCAGTTGATAAAGATGATAAGTGTCTCTGGAATAATATAAATTGAACTAACTGTTCATTGTTTTTACTTTTTTCCTGAAAAGTTATTCATATTCACCAAAATAAAAGAAAATAATATTGGTAACACCATATGTGCTAGGTTCATCCAAAGCCCTTCTCGCCCCTTCTCACTCACCCAGAGGTACCAATACTTAAGCTCTCACCTCTTGAGGCAGCTCCAGCTTTGACCGGTCATCCAGGCCATTGGAATGTAAGCCCATCAGGTATGGAACAGGAGCATCTAAGAAATGCAGGAGAGAAGCCGGGAGAATAGGGACATAGACATGCTGCCACTGGAAAGGAAACATGAGAGCTGTAATCGTCTCCGCCACAGTCATCAGTCTCTGGTAATCTGGGTCAAAAAAAAAAAAAAGCACACATACAAATCAGTCAAAAACAAGGTACTTCCTTCCCAAACAGTAAATTAAAACCTTCAATACAATTTCTTATTTAGAAAGGATTAGGATAAACTTTAGCAAGGGTATGCTCAAAGTGATTCCCTTGAGGGTGTCAGAGAGACAACCAAGAGACCCCTGTGGACCACAAATTAAAATATACCTACACACATAGGTCCTTGCTCATAATAAAATCCAATATGGAAATACAACAAAAATAATTAATGGCATCTTGCACCAAATACTATGCCAGAATGTGATAGTAGATCCTCTTAAGAAAGAAGGTAAGAGAACGGAACAAAAAGAAAAAACAGTTGGTCGGGGACCCAGTTCAGCATGGAAGCAAAAAGGCTCATTTCTCACTAAGATACTTCTGCAGAACATCCTGTAAGGAGCTCATGTGAGCTTTGCCTGCAAAATCAAGCACAAAGAACTACAAGGCATGCAGAAGCTGATTTTTCCACATTAGCCAAGCCTACCCTATACCTGGCAACCTTTCCTGAATGAGAACAGCATAAAAATGTTATTTTAACATTTCAATAAAAAGCTTCCTTAGAGGCTGGATGCAGTGGCTCACACCTGTAATCCCAGTATTTTGGATCACTTGAGGTCAGGGGTTTGAGACCAGACTGGCCAACTAGCTGTACTCTGGCCTAGGTGACAGAGCTATACGTCTTCCAAAAAAAAAAAAAAAAGCTTCCCTAGAGCTTGAAAGACCCAGACTTTCTTGATTCAAAACTCTTGTTACAGGTCAGAGATCATAGCCTGAAGGAAAATCTTATGATCAATATTTGGCTGCTCTTCAGAATGTAATTTCTAGCTTTTTTTTTTTTTTTTTAAAGAGTAATATATTGGTAAAGCCAAAAGAACTGACTGGTTAAAGCTGAAATTTGACAAATTACTATTCACAAATATGATGATTTCAGGCATTTAAGAACAAAACAGAAACATACATTTTTTAATTATGTAAGTAAAATTTTTCTGGAATGGGTGGTTTTAAATGAGCTGTCATAGGAATTAAAATGATCTTACGTGCTAAAAATTCACCCTACCACTTAAATCACAGCTTGGTTCATAAAGTAGCTATAAGTAACAAAAACTTTCTAGGAAATAAAGTCTCAGTAGAAAGGGAGTGGAAGCTAAAAAGCAGAAATTGAGCAAAACATCCTACATTTGCTCACTAATAGAGCTTTGAAAGTTGCCTATCACCTTGCTCCTAGATAATCAAAGAAGAGCATAACCTGTAAATAACTTTACTAGTGTGATAAATATATATATTTGGTCTCTTCCCTGATTCCTGAAACACACAGCTCCTAAAACCCTTGGAATCTACTGGGCATTAAGAATCTCTTTTAAGTGACATTGTCTCACTTAAATGCGCCGGGTCCATTTTTATGACTTGTATGTGCAGATAAAGACATCAGACTTGGGACCACTCTATAAATAAGTCCCCTCTAAACAAACTGCAGGCAGCTCCTACATATTTACGAACAATTATAAACTGTCCTGGCAAGTTGCAAAACAATGATTAATTATTATGCTCCCATTTGTGTTCTTTTTAAAAAGCATATGCATAGTATATACACGGTTGTATCTACAAGGAAACAGAAAACAGTGGTAACCTCCCTGAAGGAGAACCAGGGAGCAGAAGTAGAAGTCGTACACTTCACTGTACACTCTTGTAATGTTGTACATTTCTATCCTTCATTGTACACTCTTGAAATCCTGTTTTTCAAGTTAGTTTACACTCTTGGAATGCCTTTTTTCAAGTGAGTGAGTGAGTTACTTGGAGACAGAGTCTTGCTCTGTCGCCCAGGTTGGAGTGCAGTGGTGTGATCTCTGCTCACTGGAAGCTCCGCCTCCTTGGTTCAAGCCATTCTCGTGCCTCAGCCTCTTGAACAGCTGCGACTACAAGTGTGCACCATCATGCCCAGCTAATTTTTTGTATTTTTAGTAGACATGGGGTTTTACCATGTTGGCCATGCTGGTCTTGAACTTCTGATCTCAAGTGATCTGTCCTCCTTGGTCTCCCAAAGTGCTGGGATTACAGGCATGAGTCAACGCACCCGGCCTGAACTTTTATTTTAATATACCATATATCTTTCATAGTGTATTTGTATAATTTAAAGAATATTTATATTAATACATGTGTATTCAACACTTAACATAAAAAGTAGTACATTGGGCCAGGCATGGTGTCTCATGCCTGTAATCCCAGCACTGTGGGAGGCTGAAGAGGGCAGATTGCTTGAGGTCAGGAGTTTAAGACCAGCCTGGCCAATACAGCAAAACCCCATCTCTACTAAACATACAAAAAGTAGCTGGGTATGGTGTTGTGTGCCTATAATCCCAGCTACTCAGGAGGCTGAGGCAGGAGGATTGATTTAACCTGGGAGGCACAGGTTGTAGTAAGCCAGGATTGCGCCACTGTACGCCAACCGAGTGAAATTCCATCTCAAAAAACAAAAGAAAACAGTCGTTATTAAAAACACTGGAAAAGACAGCATTTTTAAAAATTAAGAGATTACTTCTCAGATGTAGGATACTAGATCAAAGAAAAAAGGGCTGCGTGCAGTGGCTCACACCTGTAATCCCAGCACTTTGGGAGGCCAAGGCGGGCACAGTTCACTTGAGGTCAGGAGTTTTGAGAACAGCCTGGCCAACATGGCAAACCCCATCTCTACTAAAAATACAAAAATTAGACAGGTGTGGTGGCACATACCTGTAATCCCAGCTACTTGGGAGGCTGAGGCATGAGAGTTGCTTGAACTTGGGAGGTGGAAGCTGCAGGGGGCCAAGATCGCACCACTGCACTCCAGCCTGGGTGACAGATAGAGACCCTGTCTTTAAAAAAAGGAGTGGGGGGGGGGGGACTTTCAACTTTCTCTGCATTATTTGTGCACATCATATTTATATCTATTTGTTTTTTAAAACGATTATTTTCATTAAGGATACACAAAAAATTTGATATCCAGCTATCATATAGAGAGGGGAAAATAAAATTTGATTCCCTGTGGAACTGTTTTGATTTTATGCCTTAAGCATTCATTATTTTTACAGTAAATGACTACTTTAAACAGTAAAATACCATTAGAGATTTCTCATCAACCTTTACTTAGCCAACTCACTTTACTGATTGATATTCCCCACTCTGAGTAAAGCATATATTGCTCCCACTCATTTGTTCCCAAACCTGTGCTAGCTGAACTTACTACTAGATTATATAACATAACCAAATACAGTGTACATAAATGGCAAACTCTGAGGGCAAAAAGAAAGAATAGCTATTTCTCTGAAAACAATATTAAATGCTTTTAAAAGACTCAGTGATGCGAAGTCACTAAAAAAAACACTGTATTGAATTAGGCATATCATGAAGCAATTAAGAATAAAAAACTAACGCTTGCTTTAACAGCACATATACTAAAATTGGAAAGATATAGAGAAGATTAGCATGGCCCCTTCACAAGGATGACACGAAAATTTGTGAAGCGTTCCATATTTTAAATTACTCTAAAAAAAAAATAAAAATAAAAATAAACACTAGAGAACACTACAAATCTAGAGGTAGTCTCTACTCTTGTTCTTTGACAAGGTTCTTTAAGTTATCACTCCACTTTAAAAAAAAAAAAAAAAAGTAATTAGGGCCGGACGCTGTGACTCACGCCTGTAATCCTGGTACTTCAGGAGGCCTAGGCGGGTGGAGGTCAAGAAATCGAGACCATTCTGGCCACACGGTGAAACTCTGTGCCTACTAAAAATACAAAAATTAGCTGGGTGTAGTGGCATGCACCTGTAGTCCCAGCTACTCAGGAGGCTAAAGAAGGAGAATCGCTTAAACTTGGGAGGCAGAAGTTGCAGTGAGCTGAGATCACGCCACTGCACGCCAGCCTGGCCACAGAGCGAGACTACCTCTCAAAACAACAACAACAACAACAACAACAATAACAAGAAAATCTAGTCAATGCATTATGGGTGTGGGTTATGCAAGAAAAGCAATGCACATATCTGATTTGTGATTTCGTAATCATGGGAAATGGCTGGACTCCTCATCAAAGATTATTGACTATACAGTTGTATGTTTTAAGTTAAATTACTTAGGCCAGGTGCAGTGACTCACACCTGTAATCCCAGCACTTTGGGAGGCCAAGGCCAGTGGATCACCTGAGATCAGGAGTTTGAGACCAGCCTGGCCAACATGGTGAAACCTCATCTCTACTAAAAATACAAAAATTAGCCAGGCTTGGTGGCGCGCACCTGCAGTCCCAGCTACTGGGGAGGCTGAGGCAGGAAAATCACTTGAACCCAGGAGGTGGCGGTTGCAATGAGCTTAGATCCTGCCATTGCACTCTAGCCTAGGCAACAAGAGGGAAACTCTGTCTCAAAAATAATTTAAAACTAAATAATTTAATTATAAAATTAATTGTATATATCATGTTTAGGATTCTGTGACCTGACTGTTTTGGTTTCCAATCAACTACTCTACTAGGCCACTTCAGATAAAGAGCTTCTGTTTCGCATATAATCTTAAAATAAGGCCAGATGCAGTGGCTTATGCCTATAATCCCAGCACTTTGGGAGGCCAAGAAAGGCGGATTGCTTGAGCCCAGGAGTTCAAGATCAGCCTGGGCAACATGGCAAAACCTTGTCTCTACAAAAAAATACAAAAACTAGCCAGACGCAGCAGCATGTGCCTGTAGACCCAGCTATCTAAGAGGCTAAGGCAGGAGAATCATCGGAGTCTGAGAAAGTCAAGGCTTCAGTGAGTCACGATTATGTCACTGCACTCCAGCGTAGGTGACAAAATGAGACCCTGTCTGAAAAAACAGTAATAATAATAATAATTTTTAAACAACTAATTAAAAATTGTGCTATTGAAAAAACACTATTTCTATATGAACTAAAGAATAAGTCGTATCCAGAAGCAAATAAAATGACCTATACCAAAAAGAAAACACCGTTTAAAACTGCCAATTCAATGTTCCAAAAGGTTACACTTTCAGAATCTTACAATTCAGCCTGCATTCCTTTTCCCTCAATAACACTCCTTTTCTATTCAGAAGGCAGGACATGCAGCAGCCAAAACCAACTGCTGTGGTGAAAGCTTGTTTTTGGCCAGAGTGATTTTTATCTACACAAGGAAGATGCCTTTGAATCATTAATAAAAACTACTTCAAGAAAACCAACCTAAATTGTTTAAAGCACTCTATTAACAACAAAAAGCATAATTTACATCCAATGAAAAGTAATCCACTCTACTTTGGCCTCAGCCAGGCTCAGCAATATCCAGGAAATTTCTGGAAAAAGCTTTATCTTGTCCATGTTCAGCATGACTTTAGGTCCTAAGTTCAATTCAATTCTACATACTAACCATCTCAATTACATTAGAACCTCTTATAAAATTCTTATTATGGATACAAGAACCCATATTCTAGGAAATACAGAAGCAGCTCAGATGGAACAATGTTATTTTTCCACTGTGTTCATCATATTTGTTTCAATCCTCCTTTCCTTGCCTCTAAACAACCCCCCAACACACACACACTGTATTATAGGTACCTAAAAGCCTACTGTATCTTCTAACACTCTATATAGTTTGGTTTCCTCCTCTCTGTTCTGTTCTAAACAAGAGTTCTTCCATATTTAACTAAGTTTCATTTCAAATTATTTTTATCAAATTCCAGCCAATAAATAGCTAGGAAAGCAATATGATTTGTCCAAGTCTATATTTCACCCAGAGACAGGAGGCTGTAACTTCATATCTTAAACTATAAGTTGCAAAGAGAAGCCTCAGGAACTACATTCAGCCAACAGATAATGTTTGGCCTACAGTGTTTAAGAAGAACATTGTTGCCAATATTTAAAAATCAGAGATTTCGGCCGGGTGCGGTGGCTCAAGCCTGTAATCTCAGCACTTTGGGAGGCCGAGGCGGGTGGATCACAAGGTCAAGAGATTGAGACCATCCTGGCCAACATGGTGAAACCCCGTCTCTACTAAAAATACAAAAAATTAGCTGGGCATGGTGGCACGTGCCTGTAATCCCAGTTACTCAGGAGGCTGAGGCAGGAGAATTGCCTGAACCCAGGAGGCGGAGGTTGCGGTGAGCCGAGATCACGCCATTGCACTCCAGCCTGGGTAACAAGAGTGAAACTCTGTCTCCAAAAAAAAAAAATTAGAGATTTCATATAAAAAATCTGGGTCCTCATGAAATACAAGAATATTTAGTCACATCAGGCCAGTATACCCACAAGGAATTAACTGGAGCTAATTCATAGCTGTCTACTTTACATGAGGTATGTGCTCTTTCAATCCCAGCATTTCAGGAGGCCAAGGCGGGCGGATCACCTGAGGTCAGAAGTTCAAGACCAGCCTGGCAAGTCAACATGTTGAAACCCCATCTCTATTTAAAAAAAAAAAAAAAAAAAAAAAATTAGCTGGGCATGGTGGTAGGTGCCTGCAATCCCAGCTACTGAGGAGGCTGAGGAAGGAGAACTGCTTGAACCCAGGAGATGGAGGTTGCAGTGAGCCAAGATTGTGGCACTGCACTCTAGCCTGGCTGACAAAGCAAGACTCCATCTCAAATTTAAAAAAAAAAAAAAAAAAAAAAAAAAAAACACCATTTTGCCAGCTTGGGCAATAAAGCCAGACCCTAGTTCCACTAAAAACAAATTTTTTTTTTAATTAGCCAGGCATGGTGGTGGGCACCTGTAGTTCCAGCTACTTGGGTGGCTACAACAGGAAGATCACTTGAGCCCAGAATATCAAGACTGCACTGGCCCATTATTGTGCCACTGCACTCTAGCCTGGGCAACAGAGTAAGATCTTATTTCTTTAAATAAATAAATAATTTTTTTAAGGCTGGTCACAGTGGCACCTGTAATCCCAGCACTTTGGGAAGCCAAGGCAGAAGGTTGAACCCAGGAGTTTGAGATCAGCTTGGGCAATATAGTGAGACCCCATCTTCATAACAAATAAAAAAAATTAGCCAGGCATGGTGGCACGTGCCTGTAGCCCCAGCTACTGAGGAAGCTGAGGTGGGAGGATCACTTGAGCACAGGAGGATGAGGCTGCAGTGAGCCATAATGGCACTACGGAACTCCAGCCTGGGCAACAGAGTGAGATCCTGCCTCAAAAAGGGAAAAAGGAAAAAAAGAAAATCATCATTTTGCAACCATCCTAGAAATAACTAATTCAGAATATAATCATCAGTAGATGCTAAACTATTAGACATCTGTAAACTGCAAATATGATACAAAAAATAAAAACTTTTAAAAAAGATTAGGCAAAACTTTAAAAAAGAACAGAATAATTAGTTTCAAAGTATCTCCTCACAACTTACATGTTAATTACCAAGGGAAAAATTATAACTTTCCAGTTAAGAAACCGCAGACACCATCTTAACCAAGTGAGCAGATTAGTATCACCAAATATGGGACAAAATGACATCATATGGCTGCCTCCTATAACCACGAAAACTGACAGTATGTGCCTCCTAATAGAGAGAAGAACATCATCACTTCTATGGTATTTCTGGAAAAATTTATAATCTGAATCTCATCATAAGAAAACATCAGACAAAACCAAATTAAGGGACATTCTATAAAATAACTTGCTTATACTCTTCAAAACATCTATGTCATGAAAGACAAAGGCTGAGAAACTCACAACTAAAAGCAATGCATGATATTGCACTAGATCCTGAATAAGGTTTTTTTTTTTCTTTTTTGAGACGGTGTCTCGCTCTGTCACCCAGGCTGGACTGCAGTGGTTCGATCGCGGCTCACTGCAACCTCTACCTCCTGGGTTCAAGTGATTATCCTGTCTCTGTGTCCAGAGTAGCTGGGATTACAGGCACGTGCCACCATACCTGGCAAATTTTTTGTATTTTTAGTAGAGACAGGGTTTCACCATGTTAGCCAGGATGGTCTCGAACTCCTGACCTCATGATCCGCCCACCTCGACCTCCCAAAATGCTGGGATTATGGGTGTGAGCCACTGCGCCTGGTCACAAACTTTTAAAAATTATCATAACAGACATTATTGGGTACTAGAGAAACTTTAATATAGTATTGTATCAATGCTAGATTTCCCAAATTTGATCAAAGACAGTTACTTAAGAGAATGTTTTTATTCTTAGGAAATAAACATTCGAGAATTTAGGAATCTGCAACAACTCTGAATGGTTAATAACTCTCTATGTTCACAGAGAGAGAGAGATGGTAGTAAAGGAAATTAGGCAAATGTTAACAACTGGCGAATTTGGGATAGGGTATACAAGAGACCCTAGAATACTCCTTGCAACTCTTTCATAAGCTAGAAATTATTTTAAAATAAAAAAATTTAAAAAAATTAAAACCTCTGATGGCTATCCAAGTGTAAAAGCCAAAGTCCTTACAATGGCCTACAAGATTCTATACAATCTGGCCTCCTGTTAAATCTCTAAAACCATCTCCTACTGTTAAGTCTCTAACATCATCTCCTACTATAGACTCCTGCTCATTTACT